GGGTGCTATGTGTGTGTTGGGGTGCTGGTGTTAGGGTGCTGTGTGTGTGTTAGGGTTCTGTGTCATGTTATGTTAGGGTGCTGTGTGTTAGGGTGCTGTGTGTGTGTTAGGGTGCTGTGTCAATGTTAGGGTGCTGGTGTTAGGGTGCTGTGTATGTGTTAGGGTGCTGGGTGAGGGTGATGTGTGTGTTTGCCAGGATTTTGTATTGGGGGAGGCAGGTAAATGGCACTATTAATGTTTTACTAAAAAATAAAAATAAATACATAATAATAAATAATAAAAATAAATACATAATAAATACTAATAATAAATAATAAAAATAAATACATAATAAATACTAATAATAAATAATAAAAATAAATACATAATAAATACTAATAATAAATAATGAAAATAAATACATAATGAAAAATACTAATAATAAATACTAATAATAAATAAAAATAAATACATACTAATAAATACTAATAATAAATACTAATAATAAATAATAAAAATAAATACATTATATCCCTCCCCCTCTATTCTTACCTGTAGTCTGGAAGGGGGGGGTGGGGAGATCGTGCTGCTGCCAGCCATCCCTGGTGGTCCTCGTGGTTAGTGAACTCTAGCCCTTTGGGGCTAGAGGTCACTCTCGCGAGACCCGGCCGGTTGCCATAGCAACGGTTACAGCTCCGCCGGGTCCTCTCTCCTGGCGGCTGGCTCCCCTCCCCTCTCTCCCCGCCGGCGGCCGCGTTTGAGTGCATGTGGGCCGGTGAGGGAGATCTTTGATCTCCCCACCGGCCCTCCATGGAAGACAGCGGGGCCGGCACTCGGATAGTGCTGGCCCTGCATAGACCGGCAGGGGAGATCCTGTGATCTCCCCTGCCGGCCTCGGCCCATGGCCACCGCGGCCCACCGGGCATTTGCCCGGTGTGCCCGATGGCCAGTCCGGGCCTGGTTGCCGCTGTAACCGCGGCAATGCTCTGTACTCGCGCAAGAAGGACCCGGAGGAGCTGCAGGCTGAGCTCCCGGGTCCTCTCTTCCTCCCTCCCCTGCCGGCTGCCTGCACGGTGCCTGCGGAACGGGGAGGGAGATCTCTGATCTCCCCTCCGGTCCGTGAAGGCACATGGCGCTTGGACAGTGCCAGCCCTGCATTGGCCAGCAGGGGAGAGCCTCTGGGGGAGTGGGCAATTGCCCGTTGCCCCCCCGGATCCACCAGTGATATATACAGCCCCTCGGTGTGCCTTTTTGTCTCCCCCCAGTCCCTCTGTATGTTTCTTTCTCCTCCTCACTGCTCCTCTGTGTCCATGTTTCCCCTCTCCTTCCCAGTCTCTCTCTTCCCCCTCTGCCTCTTGCTCCCCCTCCCCTTGTGTGTGTCTCTCTCCTTTCTCCCTCTGTCTCTCTCTTCCCCTCTGTCTCTTTCTCCTCCCTTTCCCTGTGTCTCTCTCTCCCCCAACCATCTCTCTATTCCCCCTTTTTCTCCCCTTGTGTCTCACTCTCCCCCCTCTGTCTCTTTCTCCCTCCTTTCCCTGTGGCACTCTCCCTCCCCCTCTGTCTCTCTCTATTCTCCCACTGTCACTTTCTTCCCCTGCATCTATCTATTCACCCTCTCTCTGTTTTAATTTTCTCCCTCCCCTTGTGTCTCTATATTACATCTCCCCTCCCACCCCATTTACCTGAGAGGAGTCAGGGGGGCCGTCCTCATTCCACGCTGGAACCGCCGGGCCGGGTGGCAGCCTCGCCTGTCCGGCGGCACTCCTAATGCTGAGGACTTAAGGAGGAGGGAGCATGTCTCTCTACCATGCTCCTTCACGCTTCCCACAATTCCCAGCAGCATACTCTGCTGGGAATTGTGGGAACCGCGAGGGAGCATGGTAGAGAGACATGCTCCCTCCTCCTTCAGTCCTCAGTATTAGAAGTGTCGTCGGACCAGCGAGGCTGCCCCCCGGCCTGGCGGCTCCAGTGTGGAATGCGGCCGGCCCCCTCTGAGTGTGCCCCCAGATGGCGCGGCCCACCAGGAATTTTCCCGGTATCCCGGTGGGCCAGTCCAGCCCTGCACACACAGACATACACTGACACTCAAATATATACTGACTGACATATTGCCACACATTCAGACATATTAACACACATACAGACATACTGACACACACAGATGTACACTGACAGACATACTGACACACACAGACACTGACAGACAGACATGCTGACACACTCATACACATACTCTGATAGACATACTGACACACACACACAGACATTGACTGACAGACATACACACACACAGACACAAACACTGACAGACATACACACACACAGACACTGACAGACAGACATGCTGACACACACATACACTGACAGACATACTGACACACACACAGACACTGACAGACAGACATGCTGACACACACATACACTGACAGACATACTGACACACACACAGACACTGACAGACAGACATGCTGACATACACATACACTGACAGACATACTGACACACACACAGGCATGCTGACACACACAGACACATACACTGACACATACTGACAAACATACACACACAGACACATACACATACACTGACACACACACAGACACTGACAGACAGACATGCTGACACACACACTGTCAGACATACTGACACACACACAGACCCTGACAGGCAGACATGTTGACACACACAGACACTGACAGACAGACATGTTGACACACACAGACACATACACTGACAGACATACTGACACACACACAGACATTGACAGACATACACACACACACACACACACACACAAAATGTACACTTTTGTACATGTTTCCTACCTTGCCTGGCTCAGCCCTGCTCCTGTCTGCCTCCTTGCTGTCTCCCACTCGGCTCTCTGTGGGAGGAAGTGACAGCCACAAGTCACTTCCTCCCATAGAGAACAGAGAGCCGCACGCTGCCCAGCCGGCTACAGGAAAGCAAGAGGCCTGGTTGCGCTGTTAAAGGGCCAGAGCGCGCGACCAGGCCCCTGCTTACAATTGCCCACTTGGTGGCCCTTTGTGAATGCGCCACCTGGTGGGCCTCCTTAGTGTGCCGTGGGACCAAGCAGGGGGGGGGGGAATAGTTAAGGGCAGCGGGGCCCACGGGGCAGCTGCCTTGGGCCCCGAGCAGCCCCATTTGCACCGCATTAAAGACGGCCCTGGAGGGGAGCAGGGGCTTGCTCTTTGCTGAATGTATGAATGTAATGCAAAATACAACGCCTCCTCTCTAGGAATGCACAAAAATTTCGTCTGCTGAAATTTTTGACCGAAAATGGACCTATCCCAAATCCGCAGAAAAAGGGTCAAAATCTGGAGGGGGCCCGGCAGCTTGCCCCGTGTGCCACCGGGTGCGAGGCCCCTCCCATCTGCTCAGGGAGAGAGCCAGGACAGTACTGAGCTGTATCGCATGATCTCTGGCCAATCATAGCATTGCCGCGGGTTACCACGGCAATGCTCTGACTTCTGGATATCACGGATACAGCACAGTCTGCAGCTCACACCCAACGGAGCTACAGACTGAAGAAACAGCCCACCTGACCACCAGGGAAACAAAGGTAACACCCTCCCTCAATAACTCTGTCATCCTCTCCCTCAGTCATTGTCACCAGTCACCCCCTTCCTCAGTCACTCTGTCACATCCTCCTCCAGTCACTCTGTCACCCCCTCCCTCAGTCACTGTCACCAGTCATCCCCTCCTTCAGTCACTCTGTCACCCCCTCCCACAGTCACCAGTCACCCCCTCCCTCAGTCACTGTCGCATTCTCCCTTTTTTGTGAAAAAAAGTAATTTTCGGTTTTGGTTTTTGACCAAGGGCATCCTGAATTTTTGGTTTAGGACCAGAATTTTCATTTCGATGCATCCCTACTCCTGTCATGTTATAAAATTCATAATCTAGTAAATAATCTGGCACATTGTGGGTTTTTATTCCAACAATACAAACTTTTTTTTTTTTTTTAAATAACTGTTGATGTACTGTATTTGCAACTCAAAGTATGCTATATTTTATCATAAAGATCTTCAATAGATCATATGTCTCTGAAAAGCTGATCTTGTTTGAAAAAAGAAATACAAACAATATGTAGTTTCCATGTATAGTTTATTTTGTACAGGAATCATGACTAAACGTTAAGTATTGCTACTTTCTGAGAACTGCACTCACTGGCCTCCCATGTGGAAGTTAGCTGCTTTGATACCTGAAACCTAAAAATTTAAGGATTTCAACACTCGTGGGACACAATTGCTTCTGTTCCTATTCATTCACTTGTCGTTTCTGAGAACAAGCTGTTCACAATGTCTGCGTATTACCTCTTTTAAGTAGGGAATTAGCACCTGTCCAGCTGCTGGCAGTGTGGATTCCTGTATTAGCTCTCCACCTAATATCTTATTAACTTATGGCTATAATTATGTACAGCTGTGCTTTTCTTTTTAGAAATGATAATATTTTAAGCCGTGTCTGGCCTTGTTAATGGAAACTGTCTTTTCCTTTTCCAATTCAAATAACTTTCTTTTTAAAACAGAGGAATACTGATTCACGAAATTGCTATGGCAATGTCCCATAGGCTTGAAACTATAAAATATGACATGACATTTGTAATTTATAAAATATGACATTTGTAATTTAGCCATTTAACAAAAGCCATGCACCTGGGATGCAGAGGAATGTGATTCCTACCATTTATATGAAATCCATACAAAAATAGTTCAGCTATGCCTCTAAAGCAGCGGTGCCCAAAAGGTAGATCCCCAGACATTTTAAAACTACAGCTTCAAGAAGACTGGATGCAGCTTAGAGTCACATACACTGATAACATACGGGAAACATATAGTTCACTTGGATCAAAAACTGGTGCACAATGAAGAATTTAAAATAAAACCTGGTCCGCTACACAAGTCTGCTTTTAGTGTATAGCCATCTATTTTCATTTTCCATGATAAATAATACTTTAGAGCAGGGCTGCCCAAAAGGTAGATTCCCAGGTGTTGTAGAACTACAACTCCCATAATGCTTTGCATGTCTTTAACATGCATTTTTAATAACAAAGCAATAACAAACTTGATGCTTTGTTATTAAAAATGCATGTTAAAGACATGCAAAGCATTATGGGAGTTGTAGTTCTACAACACCTGGGAATCTACCTTTTGGGCAGCCCTGCTCTAAAGTATTATTTATCATGGAAAATGAAAATAGATGGCTATACACTAAAAGCAGACTTGTGTAGCGGACCAGGTTTTATTTTAAATTCTTCATTGTGCACCAGTTTTTGATCCAAGTGAACTATATGTTTCCCGTATGTTATCAGAGTATGTGACTCTAAGCTGCATCCAGTCTTCTTGAGTTGGAGAAGCTGGATGTCAGTTTGTTCAAAAAAGGAACTAATATGTTGGCTGAGAACACTCTACACTGGCTTCAAGCTTTTCCTGCTCCTCAAAACCTTCTGCCTTGTACAGTCCACAGACTCAATAGTTCTATGCAAAGTAAAATTAGGAACAATATGAATGCACAACTGGAACCAGATTTACATAAGTCACACACTTCATTGCAGCCCTGCAGGACATGGGTAGGTAAGGGTAAGGGAAAGCCTGGCAACTTCAACCTGCATCCTGCACATTTGCTATTTGTGGCCTAACACCAGCCTAATGACCAGACTTTAGTCTGTTTTATTTTCACTTTTCATTTGCTTATTTTTAAAGGAGCACTATAGGGTCAGGAACACAAACATGTATTCCTGATCCTATAGGGTTAAAACCACCATCTAGCCACCCTGGTCCCCTCATGCCTCCATAAATATAGTACATCTTACTTGTATTCAAGTCTGCAGCTGCATTATTTGTGTCTGTTTTATTTAGACCTGCCCACTGCCTGCTGACATCAGCAGAGGTGGTAGCCTGATCCAATCACAATGCTTCCCCATAGGATTGTCTGAGACTGACAAAAAGGCAGATCAGGGGCAGAGCCAGCACAATTCAAACACAGCCCTGGCCAATCAGCATCTCCTCATAGAGAATAATGTAATCAATGAATCTCTATGAGGTAAGTTCAGTGCCTGCATGCGGAGGGAGGAGACACTGAATGTTTGGATGCATTTTAGGCAGCCATGAACCATGAAGGATCTCTAACAGCCATCTGAGGGGTGGCCAGTGAAGTTATCACTAGGCTGTAATGTAAACACTGAATGTTTACAGCAAAAAGCCTAAAGGTAATGATTCTACTCACCAGAACAAATTCAATAAGCTATAGTTGTTCTGGTGACTATACTATCCCTTTAAGTAGTTCTCTTTATTTATAGGAATGCCTGGGAATAAAAGCCAGCTCTGGCACTGCATCCTGAGCTCAGTGTCACTATCACACTCTGTCTCAGTCCAAAATGATCATTAACAAAGCACCAGCTGCCATTAATTAACGTATTACTAATTATTTAAAATCTAAAAAATCTAAAGAATAATGTAATCCTCATCCTTAATGAGTTTTTACTTTTTGGCAATGGCATTTTTGCTCAGGAGCAGGGCCCAAGTTAGCCAGATGTATTTACCTGTGCAGAAAATTGGAATCACTACTGTTAATGTAGGGTCATGGATGAATGGAGCATCCCACCATCAAAAGTACAGAGGATTGTCATGCATATTGTCAACATGCATGAAAAATACCATAACAACTTCAGCATTGTGCAGTGGTCATAGTGCAAGGAGTCATTGGGTATAGACCCTCCGTTGTTTATTTTTTGTCTAACTGTTTTGTCAGCTTGATAAAAACCAGGATTCATGTAGACTTGTTTATGAATACAATGCCATAACTGCGTCTTGCATACAACTCTTGGCAATTTAAACTCAATGTTCAAAATATTTATCAACTGAGAATGTTCTGCAAAACATGTTAAATAGTAATATTTATTTGATATGTACTTGTTTGGTTAACTTGCAAGTGCATATATTTTAAACAGAATTGAACTTGAAACAGAAAAAGAAATTGGACCTCACTTGTATTGTGGACATACTTCTTAAAGTAAACTTTCAAAGTCTGCACAAATATTAGACTAAACTATGAGCAGATATCTGTGCTCTAGATAACTGATAAAGAAAATGTGTTAGAACATGCTGGGGCTCCAAACTGGATTGAAAAGGATTGGTTTATTTTTAAAGCCACGCTGTCTCTTTAATGTATCAGATAGATAGTAAATGATATAGCATATTTGCTTTGTTCCATGATATTTCAAGTAGTTGTGTCGGAGATAACCTAGCAGTTTCTTTGTGGCTGAGCGGATTGTGGTTGTGCAAAGACTTGGAATATCTAGACTAAAATAGAAGGCTTGTGAAAAAAATCTACAACAAGTAGAAATTGTTCAAATATATCCTTTCTAGCCAGAACTTTTAAAGACATTGGTTATCTGTCCAGTGCTCAGTAATTGGTGAAAAGACCGTGAAACACAGAGTTACATGTTGATTCCATTGTGTGTGCTATTATAGTACAGCTTGCACAATCAGAAACATTTAAGAAAGTTTCTATCAATTTCATTGTCTATTTAAAATTAGATCATACCTTATGACTTCATAGCTTTTTTTTGCGAAAAGAAAATGTACCCCAGCTTACAGTATTTTAAAGTTTAGTAATACCAACTGTATTCAAATCAAACTTAAAGGACCACTCTAGGCACCCAGACCACTTCAGCTTAATGAAGTGGTCTGGGTGCCAGGTCCAGCTAGGGTTAACCCATTTTTTAATAAACATAGCAGTTTCAGAGAAACTGCATAGCAGTTTCAGAGAAACTGCTATGTTTATGAATGGGTTAAGCCTTCCCCCAAAGCCTCTAGTGGCTGTCTCATTGACAGCCGCTAGAGGCGCTTGCGTGCTTCTCACTGTGAAAATCACAGTGAGAGCACGCAAGCGTCCATAGGAAAGCATTGATAATGCTTTCCTATGCGACCGGCTGAATGCGCGCGCAGCTCTTGCCGCACGTGCGCATTCAGCCGACGGGGAGGAACAGAGGAGGAAAGCTCCCCGCCCAGCACTGGAAAAAGGTAAGTTTTTACCCCTTTCCCCCTTCCAGAGCCGGGCGGGAGTGGGACCCTGAGGGTGGGGGCACCCTCAGGGAACTATAGTGCCAGGAAAGCTAGTATGTTTTCCTGGCACTATAGTGGTCCTTTAATAAAAGCCTTTTTTGGACTTGAGCAGGCACTAAATGATGGAAAAAGTAAAATGTCTGTGATCTCATTGGATGTACTGTACATTATTCAGTTTTAACGAACATTTTAAAGTAGTTTACTACACATCACTTTTGTTAATTCCACTAGATGGCACTTGAAGTACGGTGCATGTTCTCAGCACCCTACGTGCAATTAATATACTATATAGCTTAAAGGAGCTGAAATAAAACATTTATTCCATCATTGTGACATGTTTTTTTTTTTAAATATCCTTCTGGCATTTAAAGCCGCATTGCAGAGGTATTTTTTTTTTTTTGTTTCATATGTTTAACCTGAGAAATACCGACAAGTTAAAAAAAGAATGAATTAACAAGGGAGACTGTTAGAATAGCCCACATAATAAAAGATGCTTACTTTTCATGTTCCCTTGTTCGCACTGTTTAGTGGGTCTGTCTGCAGTTGCAGGAAAACCATTCTTACCAGGAAGAAACTCTTATCCTATAGATATCAGGAGAGAAAGCTCATCTTAAGTGCAAAGGCGACTCTAGACTTTATGAGGCCTTAGGCGGAACACAAACACGAGGCCCCATTAACAAAAAAGTGCACAGTTTACCTTTGTATGTGCCTGAGAGTGTGTCTGACAGAGAGTATCCTTGTGTGTGAATGTATGTCTCTGTGAGCATGTTTGCATTTTTGTCTGGGACCCTATGTGTATGGGGTAGCTGCTTGAAGTGTGTTGTGTGTATGGGGGTCTGCCTGTAGCCTTTCTGCATTGTGTTTATGGCAAAGCTATGTTTCCTGACTGTGTGTGTATAATGAACAGGGGCGGACTGACCACTCGGGCACATCGGTCATGGACCGAGTGCCTGAGACAGCCAGGGGCCCAGCCGCACAGCCATGCTCCAGCTGGAGAGATCAGTGATCTCTCCAACTGGAACGGCAAGATAAAAAAAAAAATCTCTTCCTTTAATAGGTTGCTGGGGCCCCTGATGGCCCCTGCATATTAACCTCCTCCTCCCTCCCACTTAATGAGACCTGGCAGCATTACCTCCTCTTTCTTTGCCACGTGTCCTTCTTCCTGTCCCATGCGGCGCTTTGTGTGTTGAGAGAGGGGGGTCTAGGAAGTGACATCACTTCCTTTACTCTCCCCTCACACAGACCTTTCACAGACAGCGAGGGGGAAGGAGCAGCAGCCAGGGAAAGACCAGAGGGAGCAGAGAGAGAAGTAGGAATAAAAAGGGGAAGATGGAGAGTCACTCTGTCACTAGTCACCCCCTCCCTTACTCTGTCACCAGTCACCCCGTCCCTCACTCACTCTGTCAGGAGGCACCCCCACACTCTTCCACCTGTCACCCCTCCCTGATGGTGTTACCTGTCACCCCTCCTTGGACAAATATATATTTTTTTAATATTCCACACCCCTGTACATGCAGACACACATTAATGCTCAATACACATATGCATTCACACTGACACTATATATAAAAAAGCACATGTAGTCATCCAGACATGCACAAGTGCATTCACACAGACTCAAATACAAACATGCATTGATACACAGGTCTTCACAATATACAGATCCAAATGAATGCTGTATTATAGGAGAGTTATATTTAACATTTATTTAATGCACATATATTTGGCCTTCAAAGGACCTGGGATCTAATTTTGCCCGGGGGCCCCAAAGGTTCTCAGTCCACCCTTGATGATGAATATCTTCAGCTGGTGACTGTGACAAGGTGAGTAAAGGCGTACCAGTGGCAGGGAGAGCATGAAAGGGTGAAGGGGGTAAATGGACAGGGTGGGGGGGGGTTGTGAGAGGGAATGAGGGACATGGAGTATGACATGGTTTGATGAGGGAGTGTGACAGGGCGAGTGGAGGTAAGGGTGTCAGGGCAATTGTGGCATGGTAGGAGGGACGAGTGTGACAGGATTAAGGGGGGTTAATGTGACATGGTGAGTG